GCCTCCCAGAGAGCTAGGATTACAGGCGTGAGCCACCGCGCCCGGCCAAATGGACAAATTCTTTAAGTAAAGAAAATAATAAAACTTCAGGGGAAAGTAGCAAACCCGTGTAGCGTAACCACAGAAGTTACAGCACTTGAGTCAGAGTAAACAGATGCCCCACACAGGAAACCTCAGGCCCAGGCGGCCTTGCCAGGCGCATTGCCAGCCCTGCGCAGGTGACTCCAGGACGAGAAACAGGAAATGCTTTCAACCTCGCTGCACGTGGCTCCCGCAGCGTTGCTCAGGTGCGATTCTGGAAGAAAGACGTGAAAACGTACGTGCCTCACAGAAAAAGGATGCCCCAACGGTCGCCACGGCTACGGAAAGGCGTTCAGCACCATTAGTCAGCAGGAAAACGCAAATTAAAGCCTCAAAAAGATACCGCCACACACACTGGAACTGCCACCGTTACAAAGGCGGCAGTGCCGCGAGTCGGTGCGGCTGAGGTGCGCACGGCGCTCTCGCGCTTCGCTGGGGGATGAGCGGGTTGGCACCGTCCTTGCAGAAACTGGTGACATCAGTTTTCTGGAGCTCGCACACTGTTCCATGGCAGCCGAGTCCCTGCTGAGTCCAGGCCCCAAAGACGGGCGCAGACGTGCACGGTGGCCTGATCCGTCGCAGCCCCAGTGGGGAAACCTGCGAGTGGATGCGCTGTGGTCTGTTCATGCCACGGAACGCTGCCCACAGGAAACGCTGCACGTCAGTGCACCAAGCAGCAGCCGGCTGCACCGCAGACAAGCTCTGAGCCAAGAAGCCGGGCTCCGGGGCCGGCATGAGGCTCTGTCCACGTGTGCGGCCTGGCCATGGTGGGCGGGGATAGGGTCGCCCAGTGGTTCCCCTGGGAGGACCTCGAGGGGGCCTGGGGTAACACGTGGCTGGTGCCTGAGTGTGGACACGGGAGCCGCTGGGCTGTGCAGGGCACATCTGTCGAGGAAGGGCTTGAGGAAGGGTTCACCTCCCAGCTGTGGGTTGAGTCAACAGGACGCAGCTGGTCTGGACGTCATGGCGTGGAAGGTCCAGCAAGGGCAACCGGGCAGGATGTGGCAGGTGGACGTGTGGCCCCCAAGACGTCCAGGCCCCAGCCCCTGCATGTGTGGCCTGGCGTGGCAGGACGGACCTCGGGTGGGTGACCCCCCAGAGGAGAGAGAGCAGAGGGTGTGACCAGGGCAGCAGGGCTGCAGCATCCGGGTGCAGCTCTCGGTGAAGGGTGTTGGCCCTGCCACGCCCAGCCTGGGCTCCAGCCTCCCCACCGCGAGAGCAAGTCCCTGTGCTTGAGCCACGGCGTTGTGGGGAGCTGCGGTGGCGTCACAGGATGTGGACCTGGGCAGCCCGGCCTCACGTCCCTGCGGGTTGCATGTGGTCTTCAGGAGAGGGGTGCGCTCTGGCCCGGGGCACCAAGACGAGCTCGCACACGCGTCACTCTCGGAACACACTCCGCTTTGCCAGGGCTCCCAGCCGCACCCATCCAGGCACCCTCCTTCTTCCCGAGACCCCGGCCTGCGGGACACACCTGGGCTGAGCCCAGCAGGCAGAGCCCGGTGCCTTTGCAGAGACCCGACAACCACTGAATTGGCTTCTACGGGCCACACGTGGGCAGATACCTCATGAGGGAGGCTGGTATTTGTGCTTATTTTTGAGCTTTTAAATTAACTCTGAGGAAAGTCTCTTTTGCGATGTGAGTGGCCAGTGCTGGGGTGTGGGGGGTGCCCCTGCGTGCTCTGGGCAGCGGCTGCCTGGGACAGGGGCCCATCCTGGCCGGGATCGGGACGTGGGAATTCCACGTGCGGCGTGGCTCTGGGTCCTTGCCGAATTCCAGGTTTCCGCCTGCACGTGGTAACCTGGTTCACAGACATTGACCACAGCTTTTAAGGGTTTCCACGCACTGAGACTGACACTCGCAGTGTTCTTCTCCAGGTCGCACCTGTAATCATCGCATGAGACGTGGCCTTGACGTGAAGAAACAGTAACGGAATTCAGAGGAAAGCGCAGGGCGGTAGGGCAGCGCAGGCTCTGGACGCCCGTGACCCCAGGGTGGCCGACACAGCCGCGTGCGTGCGAGAGCATCGGCCCACACGGGCGAAGGCCAAGGCCGTCAGAACAGGCGCTGAGTCCCGGAGTGGAAGAACTTGAACGGTCTCACTCTCCAAAGCACTTGACCTAAACCTCTGCTCAGCACCTCACGTGGGTAACCTGGTAACACCCGCACTAGCCGCGCCTCACAGAGGAGCAACCTGGAACTTGGTGTTGAATAACCATTTCTCTGAAAAAGAGCGTGACTTCAACACCTGCACACTGCAGCTGCTCCGTGTGTGACACCCCTCGTAACACGGGAGCGTCACCGGAAGCCAGTGCTGGAGACGGCAGGACGGAGCTCCCGCGGCACGGACAGCGCAGGGCCGCCCCCACCAGGCACCTGCTGGGAGACACGCTGAGCTGTCAGGTTTACAGGTTCCTGCGTTCCCCTTTCTAGAACACGTCAGCTAAAACGGTAGCAGGTGTTACCGCAAAACTAACAGTCCTCGTAACAACTATTTCTGATGTTGAAACTGAAAAACCAGAGTAGCAAAGTCCTGCAGAGAGCTAAGGCTGATGTTTGTCAGGCTTCTAATCCAGGGAAGTCGGTCCTACAGCAGGTCGTTTTCGGGGGGCCTGGGCCACGTGTGCTGGCCTTCGCTGGGCGGAGAAACAACGGCCCATGCTGGGGGCCAGCCCCCAGGGCCCTGCGAGCAAAGCCGGGTGCCGTCTGCAGTGTGTTTGGAACAGTCCTCCCCGTGTGCGTGTCGGGATGTGCTGGTGAACCCTGACAGGGCACAGCCAGCCGCGTGTTACGACGCCGCCTCCTTTCCTCCAAAGACAATCGCAGGTGTGGAAAGAACTCACTGGGGAAGCCGCTACTTAGGTGCCCCGGGGAAAGGCACTGGGTACCTGGGCACGAAGCCCAGTGCGAGTTTTAAAAACTTCCCATTTCCCACCGTGCCCACAAACAGGCGCCCACCCAGGGGACCAGGCGCACCGTGCGAGGCTGGTTCCAACCTGCCCACGGCCCCCCCGTCTCCCCACCTGTGTCCCTCTGTCCCAGGGCCTAAGAGTGACAAGCCCTGAGCCTGCACACGCTCTCTGCGTGGGCCCTGAAGGCCCGCTGACGACACACGGTTCTAAGTACCAATTATGAGACCATGTGTTTGTATTGGCATTTTAACTGATAAAACTAAAAAATGGCAACTTGAAACCAATGTGTTTTCTTTCAAATCACCAACATTTACAACACACCTGTCATCTAGTGATTCCCTGACAAGTACCTGGGTTTGGTTTTCAGTTTGAACACCTGGAATTGCGCCTCTCGTCCATGTGAGCGCGGGTACGTGTGTTGCCACGGCCCACGGGGGACAGGCCCCCCGCAGCCCCCAGGCCCCGTGCTGGTGCTCACGCAAGGGCCCCGCCCGGGGAGGACAGGGCTCCAAAGGCCATGAGCTCTTGGGGGCAGAGCTGCGAGCCTGCGCTGAGCGCCAGGCCCGTCTCTGGCTGGAGACGCAGCGTGTTCTACAAACACGCGCTCGGCTGGTGAAGGCACACTCTGAAAACTGCATTCTCGAGAATGTAATTTCACTCAACACGATTAAACTTCGCTGCCCACCGAATCTGGGCATCCTCTACCCGTCTCTGAAAACACACCTTTCCGTCCTACCTCTTTCTCTGCTTCGACCCAGGGCATCTCTCTTCACAGACATACAATTAATCTGACCAGTCACGGTTCTGTGCAGCAATTCGGGCTTGAGTAAGTGAGACCTAAGTGTAAGAGCATTCGTGATTCAAGGCTTGGAGCAGCCTCCATAAATTTTCTCTTCTTAATGCATAAATAAATCTACATTATGCGTTAATTCCTAGAAAAAGGTCAAACTTAAGTATCTGACATACTTTCCATATCCTACCAGGTCAAGAAAACTCACAGCCAGAAAAATTTATTTTAAAATACAAACATACGTAAAGCTTTAAAACAATCAAACTTTAAACAAAAGGGGAAAAGCCATTTGATCCCAGAGTCCACATGGAATGAATTTCCATATGCATTTGAATTCACGTAAGGAGCACTTAAAAAACAACTTGAAATGGAAATCCCGCATCCTCCCTGCCTCCCAGGGCCCCGGCAGGTGCTGGGTGCGGGTCATGACACAGCCCAGCCCCCGGTACTCCTGTGCTGGGAGCTGCCACGCAGCCCAGGGGACCACCGGCGCCCAGCTCCGTGGCCAAGACAGATGTTCACACGTGGCATCGTGATGCTACCAGCACCTTCCAAATCCAACACGAAGGGAACTCGGGAGACGTACGAGAAACGTTCGAAGGGATTTTGGCAATGCAGAAGACGTAACGTCCAGAAGATTCCACCAGAAGCTTCCAGAAATACCCAGTTGACAATGCAAGCTCTGCTCAGCACGGCAGCCCGGCGTCCAGGCGGCGATCAGTCTGCGTGCGGCTTCTGTGTGGGCTCCTCCCCGTAGGATTCCCCGAACTCGTTCACTCTGCTCTTATCCACGGGGTAAAGCCTGCAAGGACAGACAGGGCGAGTCACGGCACACCACCTGGGCGCGGCCACCTGCGGGGAGCTGGAAGTCCAGATTCGCGTTCCAACGGCGCAGTAACAAGGCAGCGGGAAAAGGCGAAGCGGCAGGGCCTGCTGCCTCCCGTGGGGCTGAGGAGCCCGGACCCCGTGTCCACCGCAACGGGCAGGCGGCGCCGGCTCTCAGCGGAGCAGCCCGGCCGCGCGGGAGGGTGGAGCCACACTTCGGGGAACCGTGAAACTACGGGGGCTTGAACGACAGCGCAGCGACAGCTCACGCTCACGGGGCTTCCCAGGGCCACGGTCCAGCCGTGAGCACGTCACAAGTGACCGCTCCCTTCAACCCCGAGATGCCCCTGGGGCCTTGCCGACGCCATCTGGTCACCAGTGTAGAAACTGAGGCACGATGGACGCGGCACCTGCAGCACGGAGCTCTGCACAGCCGGACGAAGAAGTGCGGTTGCAGCTTTAAAAATGACCTGCCCCCGCCGAGAGCCCCGGGTCCCTGCCCAGCACCGTCTGCAGCCCTGGAGCGGGACGCACGTGAGTGAACGCCTCGCAGAGAACCGGGGTTTCTGGGGCTCCAGGGCGTAGGACTCGGGAGCTGCCTGAAGGGCCCTGGCCTGAGGGGGGGCCCTGCAGAGTGACTGCGCCAGGCACAGCCGCAACACGGCCGAGCTCGCCTCGGCACGGTCTCTACCCCCAGGGGAGCCAGGGGCCCACCGCGGTGGGGTGGGGTGGGGTTCCAAAGCCGGGGCACGCAGAGCACGAGGCTGAGCGACTAGGCCCGTGCTCACGTGGAAGCAGCCCTTCCCTGTCGGAGACAGACGGCTGCCCCTGCAACCGCACAGGGAGCTGGGTGAGCCAACGGTGGGCCAGGGCCAGTGCTGGGCTCCCGCCCGCTGCGCGGATGTGCGGAATGCCCCGGAATAAAGGGTCAGAGACGTGCACAGAATGATGCCAGCATGATGGGGACAGGGGTTCTGGACGCGCTGCAGGGCCTGAGGCTGCACACGGGAGGGCACAGCTGCTCCGAGGGAGCCCACCTGGGACCTGGGCAGGGCCCCCCAGGAGGGGCTGAGGGGAAAAGACCCCTTGCGGCAGGCACCGGGGCTGACCACGGCATGGAGAAGCCCCTGCCTCCACCCCAGTACCCAGGGCTGGGCCGAGTGATCGGCAGCTTGTATCCTTGCTGGTCTTTGCAGTTGGTGGCCTGGGACATGGTGCCTCCCGAGGGAGGCCTGCCCCAGGGAAACCCCGGGCCCCACACCGGACACAGCGCAAAGGGGAGGCCAGACACCATCCCTGGAGGGGATGTGGTTAAAAACCTCTCTCGAAGGCTTTTCCTTAGCTGACAGTCCTCAATCCAAGGACCGAGCTGGGAGGGAGACGGGGTTTGGTCTCGAGGCCCTGGAGACTGGTTTATGGGAGCAGCTAGGGCTCAGGTGGGCGTGCTCTTCACAAAGCTCCACCGTGCAGGGGCCTGGGACCCTGGTAGCGCAGTGTCCGCCGGCCGGACACGCAGGGTGAGGCTGAGCCCTTTAGGCGCTGTCTCTGCTACGGCAATGACTGCGAATGTGTAAACACATCAGGGACAGAAACATGCTTACGCCGGCTACAGAACAGCGCAGACAGAACAAGCACGTCTGAAGCACCACAGCAAAGGAGGGGACGATTTCCTGCCACGCCACAGCCCTGGCAACTGCAACCCAAGTTTCAGGCTACGCGGGAAAAGCAGCTGCAAGGTGTCTTTCTCTCCCGATGAACGGACAGGCGCAGCCGTCTACGAAACAGTCGCTGCGCTGCACAGCAGCGACACGCTCAGACGCAGGCGTGGACGCCCGCACTCACCAGCGCTGGTAAAGGTAGACGAGGAACACCACGTCGTCCCGGAAGCAGGCCAGCCGGTGCGACGTGGGCATGGTGATGATGAAGGCGAAGACGTCGTCGATGAAGGTGTTGAACGCCTGCGGGGCCAGGGGAGGAAGGTGAGCCCTGCCCAGGGCTGGACCCCACCTGTTCTGCGAGCTGAGCGAGCAAAGTGCTCGACGGCAGACAGGCAGCGCTCGTACCCGCTCCTCACAGCGGCAGGAAGCCTGCGAGAAGTGCTCTGCTCTCCCCGCTGGGCCCCAAGCACAGCCTCCCACCGCGGGGCCGGTCGGGCTCTCCACGTGCGCAGAACCCAAAGGGCGCTATCCGGAAACCCGACCCCAGAGCAGAACCACCTGAGTGTCGCTCTTTCCTCTGGGAGCCTAGAATTTTACTCCAGAAAACTGCAACCACGTCGCAGTTGACCTCAGCCCCTCCCGTTCCACGCTGAGTCAGGGCACCGCCCGAGCTCTGCAAGCCGGGGCTCCCGGTACCACTGGGGGGTACGTGACTTTTAACTCAAAATACCCTGTCACTACCACAGCCCGAGAACTGGAGTCTTTCAGAGCTTGTCAAAGTTACTCTACGGCTCTTCACATTTTTTACAAGAGATCCTTTAACATTTTTCAACTATTTAACAAAACGATGGGCTGCCGAAAGCATTCTGGGTCGAGACAACCCCTGCAGCGATGTTCCCTGGAAGGCGTCTCCCAGCCCGCTCTGCCCGTGAGGAAACCCCACCCTCGCCAGGCGGAGCACGCACCTTGTAGGTGAAGGCCTTCCAGGGCAGATGCGCCACCGACTTCATCTGGGACAGGAGAGAGAGCACAGGTCAGGCGCAGGCAGCAGGGAACACGGCGCCACCGTCTGAACGGCGCTGCGAGGCCTTACCTTGTAGTTCACAAAGAGCTGCGGCAGCATGAAGAGGAAGCCAAAGGCGTAGACTCCTGCAGAGAGAGACGGCACACATGGAGGGCGGCCCCGCGCCTGTGCACGCCGGGCAGAAGGTACATCCAGACAACTCTGGGGAGTCTGCCTTGGTGGGACGTAGCTTTCAGGCTGGTAAATTTACTGAGAGTCAACAACGACTCGGCGAGTAAAACTCTTAGGACTCAGCGTAACCCCTGCCCACAGGGTTCAGGTGTGTGCCGAGCACGGGAACTTTCTGGGGCTGTGTCCTGGGGGCACAGGGGCCAGCGTGGGACTCACACCCAGGGGCACGGCAATCGGGGAGCCGCAGCACTGTGTGAGACACACGCTGGCCCAGGACTTGCAGGCCACCTCCCAAGGAGATCCTGAAGCTGAGCCTGGGCAGGGCCCAGGGGGGCAGGGGGCTGCACACAGCCGCTCGCAGCCCAGCGCGCCCTAGGACGCCAGCTCCAGGTGCAGGGGCCACGGCCCTGACCTGCTGCACAAGCCCAGGCGGGGTCCCTGCGGGGCACCTGCGCGAGGCTGCTGCACCTGGTCTGCTCTGAGGAACCAGACGTGGATGGGGATGCATGATGCTTACCTGTGCCTGTCTTGGTGAAGAAAACAGACTAGAGCCGTGCGCTGCGTGACAGTGCCTCGCGCAACGGTGGACTACGCACACCACGGTGGCTCTCCCATACAGCCCAGGTGCGCTGGGGGCCATACCACCCGGGTGTGAGTTCACTCTGTGATGTTCACACCACGACAACATCGCCTAATGGTGCGTTCTCAGACCATAACCGCATTGTCAAGTAGCACCTGCCTGCGCGTGCACTGGGCTCCAAGCCTAGGGGAGCTGCTGTGTCCGACTCAGACAGACCTGGCACTGGAGCCCAGGTGGGCGCCCTGTGGTGAGCGTGGGGCCCCAAGGAGGTGCCTGGACAGGGGACGTGGGGGAGCAGCCTCGAATCACAGGGTGCCTGTCGCCTGGGGTCGCAAGGCAGAAATGACACAGGCAGCAAACGCTGTCACCGAGACAGGGACACGGGGACTCACCGTTGACAAAGCTGTTGATCAACCAGGAATACCAGCTAGAACGGAAGACAGCTGTGAGCGTTATAAGGCCCAATCTCCCAAATCACTTAACACCTGTGTTAAACTGACTAACTTCCGTTAAACACCCGCTTATGAACACCACGCACTCTCGCGGGGCAGGGGGGCCTGTGTTTCTCGGGCTGGAAGACACCGCCGTGCCCCTCTGCCTGGGACACGGACCACTAGCTGTGCCTCCCACCTCACGCCCGCTCCTGAGAGCGCACACGGCCCCGGGGCCAGGCCGGGTCCCCCGCTGTCCCACTGCAGGGAGGCAACGGGGGCACAGAGCCCGCCCTGCACAGCAGCGGGGAGGGGCTGGTGGCGTCCCCGCCTGCACCCAGCACTTGCCCGCGGCACTGCGGCACGGTTTGCTGAGCTCAGGTGAGCAGTGGAGAGGCGCGAGGTCAGCGCGGCGCCCTACCTTTTATACTTGATGTTCAGCAGCGAGTAGACGGCGCCCCCGACGCAGAGAGGGTACAGCAGGTAGGACAGGTACTTCATGGCCTGCCAAGGGACAGATTCCCAGTCAGACACGCCCACCTCGGACCCCGGCAGGAGTTTCACAGAACTCGGTGAGAACAACAACAACAGAGCGAGCCAGGAAGACACGAGGCCCACGCGGCAGTGGAGCCGCTCTGGGCAACGCGGTGCTGGCGGATCCGGGTAGTTCCGCACCAGTCCAATCATAGAACGCACGACGCCAAGAGCAAGCCCCAAGGTAAACTGGACGCTGGTTAACAACGTATCGAATCTGGCTCATCAAAAACAAACAAAACCAACCAACCACCCTTCGACAGATCAACAAACGTAATGGGAAGAAATCTGAAGACACTTCCGAACCGCGTACTGAGATCGCCTCTAGGAACGACGTGGCTGCACCACGAACCGTACTTCCTCTGACTGGAGCTTTATTACAATCTGAGTAAACACTGGAAAGTAAACTGATCACCGTTAACCCAAAAACCTAAAGCCATTCCTGTGCAGAAATGTTTGACTAAATCAAACCGAAACTTCCAGCTACCCAATGGCAGTGTGGAAAAGCCGCTGCCCCGACATGCTGGGCCTGTCCTCCAGGCCCCGGGCTGCTGGGCTCTTGGTGACAGGAGGTCGGCTGGCAGCAACCACAGCAAACAATCAGGAATGAGCTGGGCGCCTGGCAGATGTCACCTTACAGATAACAATAACGCCCCAAACAGAACGGGGCACAGAGGCGCAGCTTCACCTGCCAGGCCCGTCCCAGCGGGTCCCTTTCCTCCCAGTGAGAAACTTAAGTTTGTAGGATTCACCTCTGGGATCCCTGCTCGACGTGGGCGGAACATAACTCCAATAAAACAGCTTCCACACCGAGTGTCCCAGTGAGAACGGCACCTGCTCCGTGTCCTATCAGCTTCCGCACTGAAGGACAGCCCTGCAGACCCTCTCCTTGGGGTCTTACTTGACCCGTGTGCACACACCCAAAACCACCTGTCACTCACCTGAGTGTCATACTCCTCGGTTTTCCTCTCGGATTCACTGTAAGTGCCAAACTGTTGTGAAATTCAACACAATAAGGTCATCGACTCAGGGAGGGGATCCCGGCACAGCTCAGCTGACTGGAGTGTCACAGGTGGCTGTGAAGCTCGCAGCGCCACGCCCAGCTGCACTGGCCTGGCTCCCTGTGCAGGGAGGGAGGCTCCGGCAGGAGCTTGAGGCCAACCCACAGCAGGCCTCGCTCTTGCCCTTCAGGGCCTCAGAGGGCGCCAAGGTCCCTTCCCGGGGCCCGAGAGGGTCTTACAGACTCCCTCCTGCCCCCCCCAGCCCCAGGCCCACACAGCACGAGGCTGCCTGCAGGCGGAAGTGTCCCACTGCAGCCGTTCCCCTCCTGGGGGCTGCTGGTCCACACAGTGAAAACACTCCCCCACAGGGAAACGTTTCTGACACTGCTCCAACGCCAGCAAGGGTGGAGCAGTCGCTGGGCTGGTGCTAAACTACAGGATGCCAGGCTGCACCCTCCGAGCTTTCTGTCCCAAATCTCACAGCCTGGAAAAGTGGGCACAGCAACTTCTGAGGGTCCCACCTCAGCCCAGGTCCTCCCACGACAGCAGCCTGGCGAGTCTCAACTGCCAGCTCCGATCTGCCCAGGAGACTCATCGACACGTGGGAACTGGGGACAAGTGCCCCTCAGCAGCAGCAGCCCCCGCACTTGGAACCGGCTGGACTGCTCCCCCAACAGTCCCCACCACCCCGGGGGCCTGGCAGGGCCAGGCAGCCCAGCACCCCTCGGCGGCCTGTTGTAGGACGGGGCTGGGCTCTGCTTTGAACGGCCTCAGAGCCAGGCGCCACGACTGGCACATCCTCGGGAGGATGAAGGATCACCTCGCCAACGAAGTCCACGAGGACCTGCGGAGCCCGCAGGGTGCCACTCTCGGGGTAAGCAGCAGGATTAAAGGACCACCTGCCCTAGAGGTCAGCACCTAACCAGGGTGCAACACCTGGTGGGCGTGAACAGGCTGGCCAGGAAGCAGAACACGGACCAGGGCAAGGGTGGGGAGATGACAGCGTCCCAGAGGCGGCTCGGGCCCACGGCCGGAACCTACCTGCAGCTCGGGTCTCAGGCCCCTCCAGACCACAGTCATCTTCAGGGCCTTCTTCACCTTCCACAGCTGGGGAGAAAAAGGAGTCGTGCATTTCAGATCCCAAGACTGAGGGGAGCCGGGGAGAGCTGCTTAGACAGCAAGGGCAGGTCTCGAGCCTGGGCGCAGACAACTTGGGCCACCCCTGCCCTCTGCCGACCCTCAGCAGGCCGTCTGCTCTGACAGGTGCCAATGAGCCAGCGCTCTGAGTCACCCTGCCTGCCACATGGCCCCACCTCCTTCCTGGGGGTACCTAGCAGGTCCCGAGCCTGTTTCTGAACATCTCTGGGATCCACCCCCAACTCCTCCTCCCCACATCCTCGGCCGGCATCACCTGCTGCGCTCAGGGCTGGCGCCCTGCCCAAACTCGAGACCGTGGAGGGTCACCACCCACCGGACCCCATAGACAGGCGCTGGCAGCCACAGGACCGCACCCACAGGTGGGACACGCAGAGCCTCGGGCTGTGACTCAGGCTCCCATCCACGGGCGGTGGGTGCACAGAGGCTCCCGAGAGAGGCTGGGATCCCGTCCTGGTCTGCCCTCCCGCCCCCAGCCCCAGCAGGCCCCTCAAGGCGTGGCTCCCGTGCCCTTCCTGCCCCACAAGGCTCCCTTTATAAGTCCCCAAACCACCAGGGCCAGACCGAGGGCACCAAGTGGCCTTAGCTGTTGTGCCTCAGTATCCAGAGAAGCACCAGCTTCTCGAGACCACGCAGGTGCGGTGTGGCTCTGCTCAGCTGCGGCAGTTTACCAAGTACGTTAGAACGTGTGGCTTGATGGCGACCTCGTCTGCAGACGCCATCAAAAAGGCCGCCTCCCGTCCCTCGGTGCTTCCAGAACACTGAGGCCGCTGGAAGAGCACTGCCACTCCTGCGCACAGCTCTAGACTCCAAGCACTCTCCGAGCGCCGAGGTCCCCAGATCACCTGCCCAGCGCCGGGCAGCGCCTGGGACCTACCTCGATGGCGGCTCCTATGCCCGCCGGGACCAGCACCAGCAGGCTCGTCTGCTCGTCCAGCAGGAACAGGAAGATGACCACCGTGCTGAAGCAGCGCCAGAGAACTGCGACGGAAGGCCGCGCGTGGAGGGAGGTGTGGGGCAGCCCCACCCCGTCCCCCCTGCCCTTACCCTGCTGCCCGGGAGGCTTCGAATGTCCCCCCTTAGTCCTCATCACCCCATTTAAGAAAGAACAGTGTGGACCATCACGCAGCTACAGAAAACGTGCTCACAGGATTATCAAAGGCCACAAACTGACCAGTGGCGGGCCAGCCCCGTGAGCGTGCATCTGAGCCATGCCTACAAGCCCACAAGTAGGCAGAGGACACCGAGGGGACCGGCTGGCGGGGACTGCGAGACTTTCCCCGTCCTCACCGCACACCTTCCTGCTTTCACACTGGCTCTGGGAAAACATTTCTTCTAAAGCCGTGCTTCAAAGACCACTCCAGCTTTCTAAGGTCTCCCTCCCTCCTCCAGGGCTACCTGCACGCAGGGGCAGCAGGCCCCGGAGCCACGGGACAAGCTGGTCACGGCCATACCACTGTCTGCTGCCAACCCCACCTGGGACGCCCGAAAAGCCGGGGCACAGGATTCAGGAGGGAGGCCCTTTCCCCTCCCGGGATAGTAGCACAGAACAGAGCCCCCGAGCCCCTGGTGACCCAGTGGGGTCACCCAAGTAGCCAGGACCACCTGGGACTACCCACTTGGGCAAGTCTTTTCCACGTGATAAAAAGAACTTTTTTTGCTGGAGACACTTGCTCGGGGCTGGCCTGACAGCTGCGTAGCTGTGCCTTCCCTCCCACGCACCGTCGTCCCTGCCCGGCACAGCATCCGTGTGCTCAGCACCCGTACCACCCTGAGGGACACACGCTGGGGCCTGAGTCAGTGGGAGGACAGCCAGGCTGGAGGTGGCCAGGCAACCGGGGCAGGCCCAGCCCTACCTCAGGCCCAGGAGGGCTCAGGAAGGTCAGAGAGGCACCGGCACCTCACTGCACAGGCCCAGATGCCGTGTTCACCGAAGGTCTTGACCAAGCCCTGGGCCGTGTGGCCGCCGGCAGTCGCGCCAGGGTCCCTGTGAGGGCTCAGGACGCCTGACGCAAGAGGCGTCCCCAGAGCCAACCCAGGGTGGTATCTGCAGCGCCCGTCACGCACAATCGCAAACCACAGCTTCACCGCACTCCCGACACCAGGCCGTCAACAGCAGGGTGCGGTCTGGCCCCTACCTGCCTTGGTGGACATGCCGATCATGCTCTTCTTTTTCTTCCAGAAACTGATGTCGTTTTTAAAGGCCAGGAAATCGAAAAGCAGCTGGAAGAAGCGGGAAAACAGCTCGCATGTCAACGTGTTGCGAGCACCCGCATCCCGACCTCGGCGCACCCAGGCAGATGTGCACCCCGGATCCACGGCTCCACGTGCCCCACCTGCCACGTCAGAACCGCGGAGGCCAAGGTGGCCTTTTTCCAGGGCCCTTCTAAAATGCTCATCTTTGACTCGGATTGTGGGGAGAAGCACCCACAGGGACGCTGGGATGTCCACTTACCACTCTAATTCCTTGGAGCACGCGCTGGCAAGGCACACCCTGCCCTGCCCTTGAGCCGCTGCCATGCGGGAGGGCAGCCTCCCGCTCACGGCGTTAAAAATGCACAAGCTCATCCTTAGAAACACGTTTTTTTTTCCTTTTTAAGAGACAAGGTCTCACTCTGTGGCCCAGGCTGGAGTGCAGTGGTGTCTTCATAGCTCACTACAGCCTCCAGCTCCTGGGATCCAGCGATCCTCCTGCCTCAGCCTCCCGAGCAGCTGAGACTACAGGAACACACCACCACTGCAGGCTGAAACACTGCCCTTTTAATAAAAATCATGACTCGATTCCCCAGTATGGTTTTGGAAATTTTCAGCTTGACTGGCAGCCAGACTCCCAGGCGCTCAGAACGTGCTGATGGCGTGGCCTGGCGCCTCCCCACCTTCCCACCCCTGGTCAGGAACCCAGCCTGACAGCCGTGACGGCTTCCTCCTAGCAGCTCCAGACTCCATGTACAGAAGTGAGGGCACGGCAGCGCCCAACTGCACAGGTGTGAGGTCAGAGCACGGCAGCCCCCATCTGCACAGGTGTGAGGTGAGGGCACGGCAGTGCCCACCTGCACAGGTGTGAGGTGAGGGCACGGCAGCGCCCACCTGCACAGGTGTGAGGTGAGGGCGCGGCGGCCCCCACCTGCACGGGTATGGAGGTGAGGGCGCGGTGGCCCCCACCTGCACGGGTATGGAAGTGAGGGCACGGTAACGCCCACCTGCACAGGTGTGAGGTGAGGGCACGGTGCCCCCACCTGCAGTTACCGGCAGCACAGCACAGTAAGATATTCTGAGAGCGAGACCACAATCACGTAACTTTCATTACAACGCATCGCTACAATCGTTCTACTGCTAATATCGTTGTTAATCTCTTAGTGTGCCTAGTTTATAAGTTAAGCTTTATCCCAGGTACACAGATGTAGAGAACACACAGTGTACATAGGGTTTCGTCCTACCCAGGTTTCAGGCACCCACTAGGGCTCTGAGAACATGCCCCCAGAGGATAAGGGGCCCACGGGATATACACAGGCTGATTTTTCAAATCTTGAAGTCATGCAGAATTTACACCATGAAATAACTTAGTAAATGCATTCATTATTTTCACTGATGGGGACACTGCTCAAAGCATTTTGGGTCTTTCCAAAACTGCCCCAAAGCCAGCAAAGGCGAAAGTCCAAGAGGCTGTGGACACGCTCCGTGGCCCCGGGAGTCAGCAGAAAGGGCATGGGCTGCCGTGCCCACACTGCCCAGCAGCTGCAGGCTCGGTGTGCTGCTGGGTGGTGGGAAGGCGCAGGGCTGCGGGGGCAGCCCACTCGAACCCCAGGCCCAGTGACCCAGCCGGGGTGGCCGGTGCCCAGCGAGCCTTCCCAACGCCCGCGCCTCTCGCACCCTCACCAGGGCACAGCAGACAACTCACGTGGAAGGCGGCAACAAAGAAGGTCAAGGCCAAGAAGTACAAGTTGGTGTCCACGAAAATGCCTTTGACTTCATCGGCGTCCTTCTCCGAAAACCCTGCAGAGAACGAGATGCAACGTGAAGGGCAACTCCAACCGCCAAACGTCACACGGTTCCCGACGCAGAAAACGCGAATCTCAGCAGCAGCAAAGGTTCACTTGACCAAAACGGTGGCGTTTCAAACATTACATCCACGTAATCAACCAGGTCATTTCCACACAGATGAACCGGAGCCGCAACACCGGCGGGCCCGGCAGCCGGCACGCACCGAACTGCTGCAGCGAGTACACGGCGTCCTGCATGTGGATCCAGAAGCGCAGCCGCCCCAGCGAGACCTTGTCGTAGGACACGGTGAGGGGCAGCTCGGTGGTGGAGCGGTTTATGACCTGCGTGAGGAAAGCCACACGTGAGAACACGCCACCACACATGGATGGGGTCGCAGCTGCACGCCTCTCACTGAGCAAGTCCAGTCTCCCGCGGCGCCCCCGCACAGCCCGGGGACACTGCGCCTCTTCCTGCTGCCCAGGCCACCCGCAGCTGGTCCAGCAGGAGCCCCCACACCTGAGCCCCCACGGCCAGGCCGGACCAGTGACTCCCACCGCCCCTCTCCCATCACGCTGAGTCCTGTGGGGAGAGGACGGGACAGGTTCCTCTCTCCACCCACCTGAACCCCACGTCTCTTCTGACCGCATCCCCGAGGTCAGGGGCACGAACAGCACCCCATCTGTCTGTGTGCACCCTTCGACTCTCCAAGCCACCCAAACCCACGGGCACCTCGCTGAGCAGAGGGCAGGAGCAGAGCACGGCCTGCAGAGCTGCAGGACCCGTCCTGGGAACCAGAGGCCACGCAGGGGACACCACAGCCACAGGACACATGGGCAAAGTGCCCTTGGAGCCTGAAGGACGAAGCACGGGGCAGGGGGTGGATGTGGGGACCCCAGAGAGCTTCAGGAAGAGGTAGCACTTGGGTCCAGCTCCTGAGGATGCACAGAACGGGGGCAGGTGTGCTTCAGAAGCAAGCGCTCCGTCTGGCAGCGCACGGGGCCAGCTCCCAGGGCAGCAGGGTGGGAGGGCATGGGACAGGGTTCACAAAGGCGAGTGCACATGGGCAGTAGCCACCCCCAGGGGTCCAACACACACAAGTGCCATGTTCCATGTGCTGGAAGCTCCAGCGAAGCTGCACTGTCCAATCTGCCTGCCCTGACTCACACCCTCGACCCTGGAAGAGTCGGCAGCCAGAATCATGCCAGGGTTGACCAGACGCCAGGCCTGCGCTTCTCGGGCACTGCAGCCCACGTTGGGGTGCCCCGCGCAGCACACTGGCCTCAGTGCAGGGGGCAGCAGGCCTCTGGCAGCCCTCAAGCCGCCAGGCCTGTCGGAGGCCCCCAGCAGTCTGTGCCCTGCTTCCTGCTGGCCCTTGGCGGACTTGGCTGTTCTCTAACGATGGCATCCCCTGAAAACTGGCTCCAAATGAGGGAAAGCAACAGTGCCACGTAAGAACGTGGCTGGGGACAAGCTGGGCACTGCACACTCGTTCCTAAGTCTGTGAATGAGACTCTCCCAAACACGCAGCAAGGGCTAAGACCGGGCGGTTCTTAGGAAAACACGGGCGCTCTGCAGACACTGCCCTGGAGCCTCCAGCCAGACAGACCTGCAGACAGACACGCAGGACGTCGACCCGCAGCCATCCTCTCGCCACCCAGTGTTTCCCAGGTACCCGCGAAGAACCAGGACCACGAGGCCTCACGAAGGGTGACCCAGGTGGGCACTGCAGTTCACAGAGCGCCATCTTGTGCGTTTCAGCAGAATATGGAGTGACCTGAGGTTCGCAAACAGCACCAGACACGCTCCGGAAAACAGAGAAGGAAACCAGTGCCGCAGAGAGACCACGCAGGAAGGCTGAGCGCCAGCCAGACCTGCTCGCCGGCCACTGACTGCCCCGGCCCCAGCCTGCAGGTTGTGCAGGGGCAGGCGGAGCTCCAAAGAGCAGAGCACCCTGTGTCAGGGACCTGTGTGAACGGCGGCACCAGGGCTGCCGTGCCTGCACACCACGGGCAGCAGGAGCTGGTAGAGTCTGGGCAGTCATCTAAGCGGCCAGGTGCCTGGCGCTGCTGACCAGCCGCACGCCCTGGCAAGCTCCCCACTCTCCGAGGCTCAGTTTTCTCACCTATAACACGGGGAATGCATCTGCTTCAGTTACCAAAAGCCGTACGAGAAAGAACACACCACCTGGCTTCCAGAGAGGGTTCCCAACGGACAGCCTCGGCTCGGGGAGGTGAGAACTCAGCTCTTTGCGCCTACGTGACCCTAGCCCGGAGGTCACCTCCTAACCCCAAACAATCCGGCCTGTGAAATGGCAGCACCACCATTCCTCGTACGACTGCTGGAATGTTCACCAGGTGCTTCGCACAGCGCCTGGCGTACAGTGCCATCAAAGATTAACCACTTTTATTGCTTTCACTATCAGCCAAAGGTCGCCCACACTCCAGCCACTCCCAAAGCAACCCTGGGAGAAATGGGCGCCGTCACTGCCCGAAGCCACGAGGGCACCAGAGTCCGCAGGGCGGCCACTCCCCACAGGCCTCTCAGCCTGCCGGGCAGGCCCAGGAGCCACAGCTCCGAGGCAGGGCCTGGGACGCGCCACTCAGGCCTTCTGTGCAGGACCAAGCCCGCGGGAGCAGTCTGCCCAAGACGCTTTCCGAACTGACCCGTCCTCACGTCGGACACACACGCAGAGGCCGTCTCGCACGGCACTCGGGCACCTGCGCGTCACAGGTTGTCTTCTAGGAGCCTTTCACCTGGGGGCTCAGGAGGGAGGGTGTCGGGAAGACCCCTCACTGGCCAGCAGCAAACCCCGAGCACGACCAGGTCCCAAGACCCCCGAGGAGGCCTCGCACATCCAAGGGTAGCACTTTCCGCCAGGGCCGGAGCTCTGTGCGAGCTTCAGAAACCGCCCCAGCAATGCTGAAGGCCAGGGCAGAGGGACAACCACCACCTGGCCACGGCGGGTGCCCAGGGCCTTGGCAGGCAGGGGCTCGCTCACCATCAGGTCCTTCACCCGGTTGCTCAGCTGGTCGATGAACAGGATGGGCAGGTAGTGCACGGTCTTCCCCAGCTGGACCCTGCGGGCAGAGCGTAATTCCCCAGTTAGCAGGACACCTTTCACACGTGGGTGAACTCAACACACCCAGAAGCCGAGTCTCCCCCAGAGAAAGCCCACCCAGCACCATCTTCAGCGGCTTCTTGGTCACGGGAGTCCCAGGAACAGCCTCCCAAAAAGAAGAATCTAGGAACACGCACCTGTGTGAGCCGCCCCCCAGCACGGCTGTAGCCGCAGGCAGGACAGGCCCCATGGCCACTAGCAGGTGGAGGGACGACAGAGCCTGGGGCCTCTGCGCACAGACTCAGGGGTCCCGTGACGCAGAGGCAGACCAGGAACGACCGCCTGCTACCCGCACCTGGCGTGGCAGAGCTGGAGAAGGGCAGGGCAGCTTTCCACTGAGTGACCCTTTTTGCACCTTTTACATTTAGCCATGTGTATCGCATGTTCAAAAATACGATTAAAAATTTTTAAAAGAACATAAAAACCCCGTGACGATACCGCGGGCATTACTGATGTGGAGAACGGCGACCCTGAGTGTGGCCGTTCCGGAGGTTGTGTGGCGGCCCGTGGACAGAGCTTCTGTGGGGCTCTCCAGAGGGCGCAGACACAAGGTAACTGAGGTGGCCAAACGCGTTGACTTTAGTAGCGACATTTAACTAGCGATGGCAACTGATGCTAAAACAATGACCTAAAGGTGAATTTTAAGTAAATTTACACGAGTCGAGGTAAAGAAACGAGGTGATGAGGTACACGGCGCCTTCCTCTTTCCCCCAGCAGAAGCGCTCCCAGGAGCAGAGGGCAAGAGGGACGCGTTTGGATTTCATTCATTTCCCTCCGATCCCTGGTGGGAACCTCGGTCAGTGCGACCTCTGAGAGGCGGGGGAGGAGCCGGCCCTGGGAGGGGCGCTGGCTCGCCTGGGCCCGTGGCTCCGCCCCTGCCGCTGTGCCACCCGCTCCGCGTAGGCCCAGGAGCGGCACTCACATCTTCATGTACCGGTGCACGTCGGCCGGCAGGGAGGACCCGTCGAAGACGAAGTTGTCCACCATCACGTTCAGCGTGAGCCTCGGTCTCCAGTGAGAAACCGGCTCATCCAGCGCGCTCGATGGCTTCTCTGCCTCGATCTGCTGCTGAAGGACAGGAAGACAGAGGCAGTGTTGGGGAGGAAGGTCGTGCCTGGGGGGACCCAGGCAGCAGGGCGGTCGGCACCCTCACTGTGCACAGACTGGCGCCCAGACGGCCGCAACGAGGGGAGCCCACTGCGGAGGCCACAGGGAACCTGCAGCTGCCAGCTCCCCCAGACCCTCACCGCACGCCCTCCTTCCTTCTCTCCTCAGAAGCCACAGGGAGCTGTCTTGCAACATGTGGTCACGGACTGCACCACTCCCTGTTTTAGGGTGCCAACCTAAGAAGGCCCACTTCTGGGACCCTGAGGAGAGCAAGAGCCCCGTGATCTTGGCAGCAGACCGAGTGAGTCTGGAGCTAACTCAGCCCTGCAGTGCTAAGGAGACGAAACAGGAGACAGCGTGTCAACCAAATGTGTGAGGCTGTCTGGGAGGAGTGGTGTGGAGGGTTAGGGGTCGATCCTCAATAAAATTAAATTCAGAAAAGAAACTCTGACAGGGAAATCCTTATTCAAGATCTGATAAATTCTACAAAACAGTATTATTTCCTAAAGACACACTATAACAATTTAATTGGCTGTAATAATTCACATTGAAGACGGTTCTCCAAACAGAGCAGCAGCTCACATTTACTCACACTTGCTACGTCCCACAGAAGGCTCCACGCGCTACACGTCCATCCGTCACTGCCTCCTCAGCATGCCTGAGAGGAGGGCCACCGTCCCCACGTGAAGGGACGCGGAAGCAGGCGCCGGGTGCCCTTCCCGAGGAGACACAGCAGGAGTGCAGCCCTGGGACAGGCCAGAGCTGGCGCTGGCAGGGTTTTCAAAATCTGCCCTCAACCCCAAGGTGTTTCGAACAATTTCACAGCCGATTCCTGAAAAGCTGCCACCTTTCTTCTTTTGCAAATTATCTCAACTTCTAGTCAACACACACGCTGGAATTTCCTTGTTTTACCCATGGCCCATTAATGATCAATTACGTGATTTCCAGTTTTTCTTTGCACATACAGCTCTCTACAGGGTTTTAAAATATAGCTCATACATATACCTTTCCGATAATTTTGGATTACATTCTGAGAATAAACACCCAACAATAGTCCAGTCCTACACAGAGTGCAGTGAGCCCCACTCTAAGTGACGGCTCCAGATGAGAAGGGCGTCGTGAGCTCTGCAGCCCAGTGGGAGGGGACAGGTGCTCCCCAGGGCCTCAGAGGGAATCCAGACAAAGAATACCAGTCATCGCTTAAATTGTCCTGAATGTGATTTAAAATTGATCGGCAAACCCTTGGGAAACTATTCAGCTGAAAAGTAGAAATGCATGCCAATGACACCTCCATGGCTCCACTGTCCAACAAAGTCACTACAGCCCTCGACCTCAGCCGCCCACGTGGAGAAACACGCAGCAACTCTAAGTGGGAGCACAGGCTCTGCTGTGGGCAGCAGGGAAGACCCTACCTGCGCGGTGGGCTCCCCCGTGAGCAGGTTGACTTCTTCTGGCTTGGGGACCATGTAGGTGGTCAGAGGACTGACGAGGTGCACCTGCTTCCCGTCACGCCACGGCAGGATCCCGGCATGGTGGAGGAAGACGTAGGCGTACAGTGTGCCGTTGTTTCTTGTTTTCTTTGGCACAGAAACATTAACTGTCCTAAAACAGAACAAACTATCATCTCATCCACACACGTATCATAGTCTATGTCTATACACGTGGAAACCACTCAAATAGCTTCGTAAGTAATGCTGTTTCGAGTCAACTAATTTTAGTTCATAAGTGCTAAAAACGAAACTCACCTGCCCATGACTTTACTACTAATAGTCCTGAAGGCAGATGTGTCCTCGGCTTGGGCGGCTATAACTGAGAGCCGGCACTTCCTGCCTCCACTTCGTGAGGCTCAGAGAGCCCATAACCCACCCGAGGTCAAAGGGCTACAGTGGCCAGGTGGAAACGGGCCCTGGGCCCAGCCAGGACACTGGCTGATTTCTACAGCACACTGAACAACACGACATCAGAGTCACAGGGGGAAGTTCAGACAAGTCTCACAAACTAAGTTTAGCCACATATGCTACATTTTGCTTCTTTGACACTATTGGAAACGATCAGAAAATTTTTTTTTTTTGAGACAGAGTCTCACTCTTTTGTCCGGGCTAGAGTGCCGTGGCGTCA